ACGACGAGGTCTAGTTACAGGGAAGGATTGAAACCAAGCCTGAGCGAGCTGCTGGATCTCTTCCAACACTAGTCAGGAAGTATAAGCACCTCAGTGAGCTGCTGGATCTTCGCCCAGCACTTGCCAAGGAATGTTGAGTTGGACTCCGTCCAACACTAGCCAGGTAAGAATGGCCTTTCCCCAACCGCCTGACAAATCCCTGACACTCCCACTGTTTTCCCCTTGAGCCAACACATACGCACGCCAGCTTATACTGAGACATGCAGGCATCACACATGCCAGCTTATACTGAGACATGCATGGACAGGCCTTGGATGGCACTAAGGGATGATCATGATTTTCCGGCTTCCGAACAACAGGTACTTGAGCGTTGCAGAATTTATGCTTGGTACCTCTTGAGCCTGGCTGTCCGGCCACTGCCGTCAAGCATCATAGAGTAGAATGCGACGAGCTGGGCTGAGGGCTGAGGGTTCAGTACTCGGCACTTCACCTGGGCATTGAAGACAACCTAGCATGCAGGCTGTCAATTTCGGTCCGCACAGGAGCTGCAAATCGCCAGGGTTGCATCTGCGCCCGTTGAGTTTGGGGGTTCAATAAAAGCCCAACATCGTGACATATCCATATGCTGCAACCTCAACAACAGGATTTGTTCTGAAGCCGTCTTGTGAAAGTGGGCAGCGCGCGCATGCAATGCCTTCTCGCGTGGCACTTCGATGCAAACAAACCTTGTTGTTGCAGGTCTGCATGAAGAGTGCATCAAGACTTAGATTGCGAGTGCTTGAGGAGTCTTTTCATGGCCACCCCGGCATGCGAAAGTCTAAGACTTATGCGATGAATGCAATTGATCCCCTGCTCGTGAAGCCGAAAATGCCATGCGTCCCAAGCTGAGGAGTAGTGTTGAGTACGCGTTCACGAAGCCAGCCGGCAGTTGGGGAGGCGGCCCTGTGTCTTTGGTTTGAGGGGTTCCTACGGATCTGCGAACAAGATCAGGACCTTTCTAGGAATGAATCTGCTGAATCTGCAAATTGTGTGTGCTTGTGGAGTCTTGAGGTTAGGGGATCTGGCGTTGAATGTCTGAAAGTTGGAGAAGCGTCGCGCCATGCATTCATCCCGATTGAGGTTGCACGCCGATTTGTGCAATGGCCAGGATTTCCTCCTGAACAGCCCCTGCGTACAATTCAAGGTACGTTTTGGATAAGAGAAGAATACGTGGAACATCTCTACCCTCACACCGTTCCATGCTCTGTACAGAAACTGGGACCTTACTGACTTGAATTTGCTTGTGGAGGTAAACAACACTTCTTAAAGGGCGTCTGCAGCAACAGCCACACTGTGGAGACGGCTGCGAACAGTCAGCGTCTGGGCGCATTGTGGCAACCTTTTCTTGTTGCCGTTATTCTGCCTGGCTTTCTTCGACGTGACGTCCACAATCTGCCGCTAAAGTAAGGTAGTTCCGGGCTCATAGTTTCCGCTTGGCTCTGCGACCCTCGCACCGCGCATATCATAGAACAACTTAGCGATCCAAGAGGGGATAGCTCTGCCAATTTCAAGCTGGGCGCTCGGGATGTCTAAGATTTGTTTTGCAACGGACCAAGGTTTTCGACCAGCGGACTTTGCACCGCCTTCCGGCTCTTGCAGTTCTTCTTGTTAGGGTTGGGATTTCAGTGTCGAATCAGTTATCCCGGGCCTTGCGCTGAACAGCGGACTGTGCAAACCCAAGAAAGACCGCATGAGCAATCACGCTGCATCTAAACCTGTCGACAGCATTTTTCGTTGTGCCTTAGCCAGGATTGCAAGGTTTTGAGTCAGCCAGCTTGAGGATTTATGCATGTCTGCTGATCCTTCATGCCTCCAAGCATAGACCTGAGACATCCTGAGACCCTTGGCCCTTTGCTCGCTCAACCCTGATCAGCCTCCTTACCCCAGAAACCTTAGTTTAGAATACGCCGCATACGCCGCCCTATGCTGCTTGGTGATCAGAGTCCTTTGTGCAAGAGACTCTGAGGACGTAGCCGCACTCTTCTCGGACCACGTCGTTGCAGTGATGACCGGCTTCTTGGGCAGAGCGCAGTGCGCAGTGCGGTGTCCATTTGAGGCTTTAGAAAACCTGAAGAGTGGCCGCTCTGAAAGTCTTCTCAAGGCTTGGTCTTCAGCCGCCCATCGAATGATGCGGCCAAGATCAAGCATTCTACGTGCAAGCTGGAAGCTGGGCTTCACTCCAGGCTTGTTGAAGCTCTCCTGCTGGTTCTTGCCCTTACGCACATGATAAGCGTGACTTATAATTAACTTATTATCATTGTTTGTGCTGGCTTCGGCCTTGTTTTCTCGTTTTTGTGGCCGCCTTCACAACGCCTGCGATTCCCTGCTAACTCTGCCAGGCAAAAGGACCGATTATTAGGTCGGACTCGGGGTGCATAAATGGTTTGTCCGTGAACCAGATGCAGCCTCACCCATGCGCAACTGAGGCCTATCTCTGGAGTTTCTTTGCTTGATTTCATGCCCACTGTAATCGAGGACCAATGTCTACTCCATGCTTGCCACTCAACCTCCGAGCAAGATTGATGGTAGTCGAAGGGCGGTATGTTGCCGGATCTGTTGTGCTCGGGGCTTTATACTTCGCAGGTTGTTTGGCAGGTTGCTTGGGTTCCGGTCTCTCTCTCTCTCTCTCTCTCTTTCTCTCTCTCTCTCTCCAAAGCACTCTGGTTGAAATGTGGGAATGGACGACATCGAGCTTGATGCCACTGTACTTTCAATCCAGTCCAGCTGCAGCTGCTTGCAAGTTTCATTGAAGCGCATCCATCAGTGTGCGTAGGGCGTTTCCAACAGCATGCTTTTTGCATAAGCGGTGCTTTACAGCACCTGTGATTTGGGAAACAGTTTGAACCAGCAGGTTGTCAAAAGCATCCATGCCGTGCCACGAGGCCGATTTTAAAGGCATGTCTCACTGCCAAGGTTCAGATGGCCCCTACCACATCCCAGGACCATTTGCAGTCCCGGCCTTCAAGTTTCCTCGGCGGTGTAGTCATACAAACAGGAGGTCGATTCCTCATGGTGCTCTTTAGTGAGTCCTGTGGGTGCAGGATTGCAGTCAAGTACAAAACCATCAGCTAATCGCCGCTCTAATAGTGACCTTCGTGTCCCAGCTAGAAAGCAAGTGGTTCCGTGCATGGAAGAGTTTTCTTGTAGCTTTGTATGCATTATGCCTATGGTATCTAGAGGTAAACCAAAGCATGAGTGGCCGCAGATGTGCGGGCGGGGCCAGCTCCAGGCCTTCAATGACAAACTACTTGTTCAGATGACCCAAAAACAGAGAAAGCGCGCAGGGGTTCAACTCCACCCTCCACCCATACTGTGGGTTGAAATTGTCGACTTCCTCTTCCCCAAAACACACAAGAGAGTGCCGGGCCGTCTCTACCTTGAAATGAAGGGACCACTAAGTGGCTGCAGGAAGCTCGCTGATGGACAGTCAGGACATTTTTTGCGAGAACGACTGCGATGCTGCTTGGCATTCAGTGCGTGGCTGGGAAGTCAACAATGGGACGTGCCACCTTTCTCGCTTAAGAGTGTTGAGCTCAGCACTGCCAGAAGATGTCACCAAGATGTCACCTTTGATGCAAGTTCTCTCTTTCCGTATCCAGATATCAGAAGTCACTCTCAAGGCAACTCACACTACTCACCGGAAATCCAATGCTTTTGGCCCTTGACCAAGTCTCAGGCGAGATCCTTGATCGCGAGTGGCGCCTATGCAATGGGGCTGCAAGATGAGTGTCCACGGTCAAGCTTCAGGTTTGGGCATTGATGATCGTGTTTTTCAGTCAGGGTTCGGAATGTGAGTACCCTCGCAGTGCGCCTCTCTTTTGCGTCTAATTCGATGTAGTCTGCACTTCTTCGAAAGGTTGAATTTTTGGATTGATCATCATTGGTCAGTGCTTGTGGTGGCTTGTGTCTGACAGAAGACTCGCTCCCAAATTCTTTCAAATTTTGCATGCTAAGCCGGAGGACCTTCCACTAGTTCATCTTAAAAGCAACACGATACTTCAAGCAAGTAATCTACCCCACATCTTCTCAGCACCATCAACAGAATTTGATAAGCCCGTCCAAAAAGCTACCAGCATCGGTACGAGACTAACCCTACAGCTCCAAATCCTGAGGTCCTGAGGTCGACCTCCACCCTCAGGACTTCCACCCTGAATCCTTCAAGCTTCGTAATTTACCTGTCAACTCTCGATGACCCACGGTCTTCGAGGTCAAACATGGCTTGGTTTCTGGAAGCTTCTTTTTACTTAGGAAATCGCGAGTTGGTCTCAAAAAGGTGGTCTGTAAAAACCTCCAGTAGTATGAGGACACAGAGCAGCAACGCTGATAACCCGTTATCCTCCCAGAAAGTGCGTGTCAAACGGGGTTTGTCCCTGGAAAGCTCTTCGTGAAGTGATGTCTTCACCGTCTTCACCAATCACCCGGAAAGTCAAATCTTAAGCCAGGCCTACATTCTGCGACCGGCCGAGCAGGGAGGCGAAATTGATGAAACTCAGCCTCAATGGATTATTGACAGACACAGATAATATCAGGCTCACCAAGCACAAGCTTGAGGCACCCTTTTTCCACAGCTGCCAGTTGCCAAAAGCGGATGTTCAGGGAGTGGTGACACTCCGAGTTGTGAAATCTCTGTTGACCAAGGTGTGGAAGTCGCACCATTTGGACTATGATGACCGCTTGCAGTGGATCAAAGCGTCGCTCTGCCACATTTGTTGGCGGTGCTGGTGTCACCGAGAGCTTGCTACCCCTAAAAACCAGAGCAGATGAGCTTGCGAAGTTGCACCCAAATGAGCACGTCACTCGAACCCCTTCACAAAGCCCGATACCGTGCTCAAATCAGCCCCCCCGTAAAACTCAGCACCATGACACAAAGCCGCAAACCCATGCCCTTCGGCCAGGATCCAGGGGCCGTACACGCGTGTGGAGCTGGCGTCCAAAGTCTCCAGCATCACCTCGGTGACTCTTGCAAGGAGCATTGTTGGAGCCCAGATCGGTGTTGGGAGTTGGTGCGAAAAAGTCTAACTCAAGAAAGCTAGGAGGTTGGAAGGGTTGTGGACCTACTGCCGTAAATAGAGTCGACGCAAGTGGACCTGTCGAGCATCGCAAGATTAATGTACCGGCTGGCATATGTTTGGCCGTCATGAGGATTGCCGTTCAGGTACAGTATGCGTGGTTTCCCACCAAGACAGGCCTGTCACATGTTGCACATTCGCACCTACTGCAGATGCTTGTTGACAGGCCGAGTGCACTCACTGAAGCAAGCAACAATGTACTTCGTTGCATTCAGCTGTCAAGGGGCTGCTCGGTGGTTGAGCAACAGAATGGATGCTCAAAGTGTATGTGTATGGGATAAGCTGAAATGCTGATTGCCCGTACTGGACCGATCATTGAAACTTCAGGCTAGGGACTGGAGTGAGCCTTCGTAGAATCATCAACACGCACATCACGCTTTCTTGCAGTGCTTTGCCAGTTTGCCAGGAACTACATGGTGTTTGGCCTCTCCAATGGCTCCTGAGATGATAAATTGGACCCATTTGTGGGTGTTTCTCAGCAGTACGCACGTGGTTTCGTGGCGGGCGGGCCATCTGAGGCCAGAGGTTTTCATATGTCTTGCTGTGGATGCCATCACGCTCGGATTTGACGAAGCAACCCAGAGGTTTTGAATTCGGCCTCTCGGCTAAGGCCAAGTTTCCTGGACATCCATCGAATTCGAGTACAGCTACATGCCCATGATCTCTGTGGGCGAATCCCAGCTTCTGAATGTATGGTATGAATGACTGCATGCAAATTTCTTGGTGCATAAAATTGACTGATGCCTGAAGCCTCAAAACCACAACCTGAGTAGCCTAAGTCCTTCATCCAGGACCCACCTACATGGCTGCAAGCTTTTTGGAAACAATGCGAGTCGAGTCTTCAGAGATTTTGTAGGATTTCACCAAGGAGCTGGCCGGGAAGCCAATCTCCTCCTTAGTGGCTCCTGGGCTAACAAGAGATAACATGAGCAACAGTTCAAGCATGCGGTGCACTGTTGGCTCCCTTCTCTCGTGTTGGCACTCGCCTTGGCAAGCAGCGCGGCAGGAGGTAACTTGCAAAATTGAGGCTCGTGGCAGCTTTATCTTTGCAGCTTCATACCAAGCAATGCTGGCAGCATGGCACAAGAAAGTTCTATCAAATCCACAGGGCAGGCAATTCGGCTATTGGCTTGAGCAGTTTTACTTTGGGGTTGCCTACTTACTTTGTTGCAGGCTGTGCAGATTGTCTTAAATCTTAGTGTGTGCGCCTTTGGTGTTCAGGGTGCGTCCGCGACCTTAGCTTCTTCGCAAGTCCTGGAAGTTTTTGGGATCTGACTGATACTGATACTGTAAATCCTCAGGTGCGTCAGATCATCTATGCAAAGGTTGAGCTGTGGTCAAGTGTTGATCTATCTTGTTCAGGCTTGTAGTCCGAGCCCAACAACTGTTCTGCAGGTTGCTTTGGCAGTGACACCTGCGCCAGCTTTCCAGCTGTACATGATGCCTTTGATAGACATCTTCAAATTTTGACGTTTCCAACGAAGAACGCGCAAGTCTTGTGTTGGACATCTTGTGTTAGACGCTTGAATAAGACGCCGGCCAGTCAGCAGGACCCAAGCTTCTGATAAGGAACGTAGCGCTGAACACGAATTTTGAACCGAGCCCACGCTCCAGAGACCGGACAAGACACAGGCGATACGGGATGCTAGTGGGCAAGATTTTGTTATGGGCCTGCGCAGACTCAGATTTTACCTCGCTCAGGGGAGACTACATTCAAAAACAGTCTCTTGCGTTCATGAGTCTGATCTCTAGATCCGATTAAGCCCTAAGCTGGCAAGGTCTACATGATCTCTATGATGCGACTTGGCTCTCCCTAGCTTGCACCTGTGGTGGCTGCGATTCCTTACTGGATCTGGTGGATGCCACCCCTGAAACCTAGCCAGAGTCACAGGGTGCTGGAAGTCTGCACCGTAGCCAACTGCAGAAGTCTTCCTTCTTATTATTGCTAACGCGAGGCCACGACCAGTGGCGCTCAGCAAGAAGTTCCTTGTTTTGCCCCGCAAGGACTCGAAACGGAAAAAGGCCGGGCCAGCATGCCGATTTGACCTTCGCTGGATGGGTGCTGTGTGCGCTGCTATGCGCTGCTAGGTGCTAGGAAGGCAAAAGAGCTTTGCATGTCATCAAACGGGGCTTCCGAGAGAGGATCCTTAGAAGTCCTGCTGCTGGACGGCCTTGAGGATGTTTCCATTGGGCTGATGGCCATGAGCCTTTAAGCGTAAAAGCTCAAAGCCGCAACAGGCAAGCACGCGCTCTCCAATTCAGCCCTAATGGTCAGGAACCCTCTTCTGGCTGAAGGTGGCATAACGCAATTGAGATTGAGATGTTTAGATTGGAAGAGCAGCTTTAGAAGGTCTTCGATCAGGCCAAGGTTCAGGTCCTCTTACATACTATCTGGCTTAGCGACACCAGGACGGTGTGCTCGGATTGACTGTGGTCGGCAGCCACATGTGCGCTTGCTCAGTTTTAGTTGCCAGCAACACTTAAGAGATTGCTTCTATTTGTTTAGGTCTCAGGGTGTAGCAGGGTGGGCAAGCTTGCTCTCAGGGTGTAGAAGGGTAGGCAAGCTTGCAACCACAGCATGTCTTCGCGATGCATGTTCACCTCACTCGTGTCTCAACGCTGCTCGGATGCTATCCAAATCCTGTTGTGTTCCACACCTGACTGAACAATGGCGTTGAAGGTCCAATTTACTAGTCATGGGCAGGAGGCCGAAACGCAGTCTCAACAATTCAGCGAGAGGTACATTGCCAGCCAGCAGCACATCCATCGGATCTCAATTGAGACACAGGAGGCAGCTTACGCGACTTGTCATGGTTTAGGCTTCCTGTCAAACTCAGCTTGATGTCACGCGCGCTCCATTTGGGGAATGGCATGCCGCCGGAAAAATAGCCGGAGCCGGTGTGCAACTCCGAATCAATTGCTGGTTGCGTGTTTAGAGGGTCATGGTCTGGAGACGCTTGGTTGAGGCTGTGAGTGTTCAATCGCCACGACCTCAACAGAATCAACAGCAGTAGAGTAGCTGGGACCAGCCTGCCAAGCATGAGGACGGGTCCGCAAAGCTTGGGCCTGCAAGCAACAGCTTTCAGCCAACGATCCACTTCAGGCTTATCACAAGCAAGGCCTCACGGCGGCGTTCGCTGGCATCCAAGATGGCGCCCTGGCCTCTTATTCTGAAGGTCCTGGAACTCTCATTCCGAGGGATCGGAGGCATTCTGGTCAGCTATGCGCCTCCCCTTGCAGGTCCTGTCAAGGCTTTGCATTTAGGACTGACTCTCGAACAACCAGTTGGCTCCATTGGCCAAGCAGGATAATGAAGACGCACGAAGACAAATCATGTTTGGGGGTTGCCTTTCTGGAGAATCTTGAGGTTTCCTTTGGTCCAGTGCTTGAAGTATTAATTCTGGCTTGATCGCGGGGGCGCCGCTGACAGACCTAATGCTGGATTTGCAGGGTTTATGCCGGCCCCAATAGCTCAGCCGGAGGCTGTAAGAGTCGCTGGCCTGTTGCTTTGAAAAGAAATTTGAAGGCAATATCCAGGACATTCTCGAACTCCTGACGTATTTCGCACTTCCTGGAAACAAGCACAGTGCCTGCTTCTCATTTGGCTCCTTTTCGTTGGGCTTCCCGCAGCAGACCTGTGAACCATGCAAGAGTTGTAAAAGCATCCTGTGTGTTGGGGTGGGGAATGTGGTGTTTCGCAGGTTCCAGATCTAGGCTCTGAAAAAAGGGTATTGCAGCAAGCGCCCACTGAGCCCACTGTGCTAATGCAACCTCAGGTTGTTGAGGAACCTGAGTGGAATTTCTCAATGCCATGAGGCTTCTTGTACATGAGCTGGCTTACAGCCAAGACCGTCCTTGACAACTACAAGGAGAAGGCAGATGGGCTCAAATATAGGCAATATTGAGACGCTTTTTTTCTGCGAAGCATTTCTTGGCTTGTCTACCTTCGCCTTTGTGGTCAGACATGCGAGTTTGGTTCCATGCCTTGATGCTGCAGCTGGTGTCGCGCATTGAGACCTTGATTCAGCAATAGAAGCGAAAGAGCTCGTATTCAGTCTGAGGCGTTGTGGCCTTTGCAATGCTTGCTGCATCTGCTGATGAAGGGTGTCCTTTTGCCGGTTTGCTCCGTCAGTGCACAAGGGGAGGTGTTCTTGAATTCATTGGCATCAGAAGGATGCTGTAATCGTCAACTCATATAGCATCAGAGAGAGGCAAGAAACTCTCCCACGATCTCTCACGTAGTTGCACAGGGAGCTGAGAGCATCCTGATGGATCTCATGGCCAGGAGGAGCTGGCCAAGATCCCGCTTCATTTCCGTAACTCTGCAGACATGGTCAAGGTGATGCCCGTGGCACCTGAACTGCAGAATTCAGGCCTGAACATGCCGAGCGATTTCTACAAGGATTCGAGACAGATACGTTGTCAGAATTTGGGAGATGTAGAGCTTTGGAAGCTAGAAGCTCGCACAACTGCAGCAGCACTACCGGATTCCCCAAGCCTGCACCCAAGCGTAGCCTAAGACTTCGAGCAAACCAGAAGAAAGCTAGCGAAGCAACACGCGCATGCATCACACAGAGCCACAACTTTGCTCCATGAATTGGCATCCGGTAAGAATCCTCCCTCCAAACTTTGCGTTGCATGGCCACTCGTACTCTTTCAACCTCAGGCATACTCTTTACGCTTTTAGAAAAGTGGGCCACGCTGAGGGAGAACGATCCTGGGATGCCGTCGTACCGGTCGTGGTTTCACCAGATCATGCCTATGCTGCAGCCCGTTTGCACGTTTCAGACTACTTCAGGATTCTTACGGGAAGTTGAGTTCGTAGCCGGTGTGATCAGTAGGCAGTGGCGGTGGGACTCTGTAGAAGGCTGTTTGCAGTTTACAGCACATGGGCCCGCTTTTTTTTCTTTCTTCTCCACTGCAATGCTTCTAGTGGAGGGTGATCTTTATCGTGGAGGGTGATCTTTATCGTAATGTCCCATGCGCCTTCGACATGCCTGCTGAGCTGGCAATGGTGTTGTTTTAGCATCCCCTGAGGTAGAGGGTTCAGGTTGAGAATTGCAGAGGTATGCATGAACAACGGAGCTTTGTCGAGAGGGTGTGTGGATGATACTATTGTCATGTCGCAATTTGCATTTGCAGTGCAGATTGGCTTCAGTGTGCTGACCAACTGGATATGAGAAAGTCAGGGCAGCGATGGATGCCGTTGTCCCGATTCTCTTCTCTGAGGCGCGTACCCATGGCGCTGTGGAGCTGGACCTGCAGAAAGGTTCTGCCAAAGAGGAGCATGGATGCAAGATGGCATATCTTCGTACCGCCTCTTCCTAGCAGGAAAGCGTTTTCTCTCTCCTTGATGGGGTCCTAGCAGAGGACTCCGCCCTGGAGCTATGCAGCACTTGCTACATCAAGAGCATTGCTTTGCGACACTGCTTCAATGGAGGGTTGGCATCTATGGTTGTTAGTCACCAGTTGCTTGATCTACAAGTTTTATGTAAGGTTGTTATAGGCTCAGCCAATTGAGAATAAGATGCGGCATGCTCTGGCCTGCTGAGTTGAGATGCGAAGAGGGGCCTTTCCATTCCTTACTTGTGACCTGACCCTCTGCATGTACCCAGCACATCAGCAGTGGAGGATGCTGTTCACACGCGAAGAAGCCTCTACATCGTAGAGAGCCGAAAGGCGAATCAGGAGTCCGAAAGGCTGGCAACTGAATACACCTCAGGGTGCTCTGTAGCGTTCGAGCACCCAGGCTGAATCTTGTCTGGACTGCGTTCGATATGAGAGTTTGTGCAATTGAAGCATGTGGCTGTGACAAGCTGCCACAACCTCCCTCCAAAAGCCCTGAATCGTGGGAGCCCTGATGCTTTTCAGCTTCTGACAGTGAGGTGGCGGGGTCGTGTCTACCAGGCGATTAGTCGCATACGCGTGGGCTCCTCAGGCATTCCATGTTCAGATAATCTGGGATATAGACGTTCCCGTATCCAAAATCTGAGGCGTTCTAGATGGCTTCCAAGCCTGAATTAGGAACTCATGTGCTGCGCTTGCACGCTATTCTAAAACTCTCGCTTTGCCGTCGTGGACCTCATAGCTCAGGATTCCAGGAGTGAAGCTTCTCACAGCTTTTTGCGGGCAATTACCTTCTCAGTTCTTGTAGCTTCGGTTGGTTCAGACCACGGAGGCTAGTGCCGCAGTTGCGGGAGCTTGTTTCTGTCATCATGATGGTAGGCTAGAGGAGTTGTTCATCGGCAAGAAGACAAGATTGCGGAATCTGAGCCTTCCGATTGGCGCCACGCTCGCAGGTTGTCATGACCAAACCAGTGGCTGAGCAGCACTTGGCAATATTATCCCCAGAGGACAGACAAGATGCCAGAATGCTGCAGAGCTGGTGCCTCTGCAAAGCGTTGCACCTTTCTTCAGCCTGATTGTGTGTCCGAACTCCTAGTTTCAGCTATGCTGTGGCACGCACGGAGCTCAAACGCTGCAGAGTTCCAATCCTTGTTGTTTATGCAAATCTGGATAGAGAGGAAGTCCTAAGCCCACGCACTGGCGTTTCCCGGAGTCCCCCTTCCCTCTGTTGTCTTCAGAATCAGGCTGCACCTCTCCATCCAGAAACAATGCGGTACATGGAAGAAATGGGCTTTCGGCAGGCGCAGAGACAAGGGCCAAGGGTTGGCTTCTTGCAAAGTTCGAGGAACCTGCCCCTAAATGCTTAGATTTGGTGGTAGGCCAGCTATGCTGTGTGGCCTTCTACAGGTTTTACCGCCCAAAGAGAGCTTGTCTTTTGATGTTGTTTCTGCAGCTCCTCGCAAGGCCCCTCCTGAGGCAGATGTACTCAATGTACTCTTCCCAGATGTCAATTATCTCAGGAAACTGTCAGCTAGACTTCGTCAGTCAGACTTGCTTGTGAAAACTGCAAAATGCAAGATTCACACGTCATACTAGAAGGAGGAGTTCTGGTGTTGAACATACATCATGTGAATTTCATACCATATGAATATACATCCGCTCATGCATAGGTACACATCCTCATTCGAGGCCCGCTTGAAACCCTGGCCTCAGAAGCTAGGTCCACGATGCGCTTTTCAAGCCTCAGAGCTTCAAGAACTGCTCATCCCAAACGTTCTGTCAGAGCCCGCTGGCCTAACGGCGGCGCGCAGCGCAGTGGATCTGCAGGCCAGGCCTTGCAATTCCATGCTTTTGCGTTCCGTCAATCGGCAGAGTCTGCAACCTGTTCCGACCCCGGCTTTTAAAGTGTGTTGGGAGTTTTCGGGCTACCATGGTAATTATGGGGGTTTCGGCCCCTGCCCAGTCAGCAGGACTAGCTACAAACGCCTGCAGGATGATGCCTGCAACAGCATGAGCCGAATGCCGCATGCCCAGCGCCGGGAGACACTACCAGTAGCTATGACACATTCAGCACAGTGCTCTTGTGTTTGCGAACGCGTGCAGCTGTTTCTGCAGGGCATGTTACCGAATCTTCTTGTTTTCGTCTGGCTCGTCTGCGTATGCTCGGCCTCCCGCGCAGCGGCAATTCACAGCGTCGGTGATGAAACAAGGAGCAAGGGGTTGCGAAGACGTTCTCGGAGATGGCCGGGCCACTGGATGACTAGAAGAGAACATTTCCAACTCCAAGCGCCTAAATACCTACATACATGGACAGCAAGGCACAATAGTGCAAGGTAAGTTGACAGCCGTCAGCCGAGCAAAGGTACTGTGAGCCGGTAGCCGAGCAGTGCTCTCTGCCTGCAGGAGGTGCCTGTAGGACAGTGAATCTAGAATTTCCAGATGGCGGTGTACGCCCTTGGCGATTTTGTGAGCAAAGATCTCCGCTCAAAACAGTCTACCAACACAAGTATGAGGGACACCTGGACAGGCCACCTACGATGTAGTTGACAACATTGGTTTCTATTCGCTCGCACACGGCAAGGTCTGGTTGAAATGCCCCTACATTTGAACGATGAGAGCCAACGCAGATCTTTTCCGAGCAAGCCCATGTGCCAACCCAGATGTTGCCACGCATACTGCGGTGCTACATAGGTTCGAGTTCGACTCACAGAAATACTTGCAAGAAGACTCGTACATGTTCGTTAAACTCGGCCCCCTCCTCTCCCTAGACTCCTACACTGGCGTCCCAGGTCTCCTCTGGAGCTTTAAGGCATTGTGAATTTAAAGCAGGGTGGGTGCGACTCTGCACGCATGGTCAAGGAAAATGAGACATCAGGGGCCTCTGCGACTCCGCACTGCAAAGTGTCTAAGTTGAAACTTTTAGCGCGGTGATGTATTTAGCTCCATTTAGCAGGCTTGAGCGATACTAATGGCCATTGCATGATGCTGCATCATTTGAGCGACGGGACGGTGCTTTGCGATGGTAAGCGCCCAACAATTGACGAGGCCTCCCAATACAAGGCCCGCCCTGAGCTTGATCTGGGTGTGATCATGGAATGCTGCCACAACAATTCCAATCAGCCTGGAAAACTCATGAAGATTGGCTTTGAATGTGGCCAAAGGCCAAAGATGTAATATTATTGCCCTGATGCCCACCTGAAGGATACCTCCAACTCTTCAAGGATGCCAAATACAAGGTCAAGGCTGATGTGCATTGCAAGCAGGATGCTCCAGAGCAACGTCCCTCAGGCAACAGCGAAATCGTCAATGACAATAGTGGATGTGCGCACAGGGGCGATTCACTGAGGGGGTCCCATCCGCTGGCTCATTGCCGAAAATGGCTTCAGCTAGCCAGAGCCTTTTGACAATACGAACGTACGTCGGCCACTTGTCTCGCGGTGCTCGGCGGACAGTTTTGATGGCTCCACATGTGAAGCGGGTGCGCAGGAGCAGTAGTATCTAGGTCTGTCCCAAGTTCGAGGGGCATCCTTTCGGTGTGATATATGACATATATGATACATGAGCCTAATTCAGATGGATGCGGTCACACAAACCGCGTTGCTTACTTCTTCATCGGGAAAATGGCACCAGTGGCAGACGCTTTGAAGAGAGTCCCTGCATTAATTTGTAAGAGCCATTCAATTCACACGTCAACTGAAGAGCAGGCACGTTGCTATTCCTCAAAACATCTGGCAACATTTTCTTGTCCTTGGGACCAAGCACCAAAGCTCCTACCTTGAGATGCCCTTGATTCACTGTAAGCGAGGTTGGCGACCAACACGCGACTTTGCTATCTCGAGCTTTGTGGGGAACTGGATCGGCCAAGCAGGTGGGAGCGGGTGTCTGTTTGTGGAGTCCCTTGGAGAAGGATGAGAATGTTGTGGGTGCAGGGGGATCTTCATTTCACAAGGACCCATACACTACATCACGTGTTGTAGCATACGGGTGTTTCATGTGTGCATTGTTCAGCTGAGCACGGTGCTGGCACCCAAACCTCTTAGTCATTTCAGATGCAAATGCCCGGATTTCAACCACTATGCTGAAGAGAAAAGGGTTAACTGTTGATTTTGGGGTGCGGAGCGGCGATCGCTAAGTGGGTTGCCATTACTGATATGATAGGGTCACTTTGTATGTTCGAAACCTGATGCGCAGAGGAGTTGGCCAGCGGGCTGAGCGCGAACAATCGCATAGCGTAGTCGCTAGGAGCATGAGCAAGTCACAGCCCCCTGAAGCCCTCATGGCCAGGACAGGGGCAGCCGCGCCGTTCGCGGGCAGACTGACATGCTGACATGCTGGCATTCACGCAGCGCAAGCAACACAAGCATGGAAGCACTGCAGCGCTCATCCACGCGAGCCATCTGCAGTCCTACATGCCGGGGGTGCATACTAAAAAAAAAGAGATTTCTCCACATGATTGAGCTGTTGCTGATGCCCCCTGGATTCGTGACTACAGATCTTTGGGCTCGGCGGCAAAAAGCGACATGAGAGCTATGGAAAACGTGCTTGGGTCAATGAAGCCTCCATTTTGGGATTCTCTCCGACAGGGCCTCGATGGTAGAAGACCCCGGGTGTCGTTCCTGTAGTGGTGCATCAGGTTGCTCTACTATGCTCGTTGTTGCGTGCGTCATTCTGGATACCTGTTTGCTTGACACGACTCTGGTGGCCTGGAGTCTTTGCCTTAAGCCTCGCCAAGGTGGAGCGCATTCTTCTGCAATTCTACAGACGAGCTCGGGCGCGGAGCGCGGATCCAGCCTTTGAGGGGAGCATAAGGGGCTTGAGAATTCGGATGAGGTCTTGGCTAAAGTTGCGAGGAAGGACAACTTGACCATTGAGTGAAGATTAGTGCTGTTGGGAAAGTTAACCAAAGGCCTCTGGCTTCACACATCACCTGTCATGAGAATGCAGTGCGGGGCCACTGCATCCATTCATATGTTGCTGACTACTTGTTGCATGTTCCGGTGCGTTCTGGTGCCTTCCTGCCACCCGAATTTTCTTAGAAGAAGACGAGCATCACTGAACCACCTTTGGCAGATCTTCAACGCGCCTCTGGAGACGAAGCCCTGCCCTCGAACTGAGGGTTTTCGGGAGAGATTTCAAGGGGAATTTGGCTTTTGGAGCATGTACGTGGTTTCGAGTAGCGAACGTAAGGCGTTGATCTCCTTGTTGTTGAGGATACAGGGCCCGCAATGCAAGGCTCGGAGCCATCAGGGCTATGAATCGAAGCTGTTGTGCCGGTGCTCACGCCTTGTGACCAACTACACCCCATGAAGGGTTTGCATTGCTTTCAGAGCCGGATGGACAATCAGCGTTGCTCTGCAACCCTGACATATCCGCAGTCTGCGGCTCTGTGTGTTTTCAAGGTCTATAGGGCAATCGAACTGAAGCCCAGGTACGGGCAGCCTGAGCTCACGCAGGAGCCCTGGTGGCTTACAAGCTCCGTTACGCCTGTTACGCCAGGGGCCAAGCATAGCACAGGGAGCGTGGATTAACCTCAAGGGCCGACTCTTCCTCCGCAGATGACCTTGTTGGACATCGGGACCTGGGCCCTATGAGTCGGGTGTGAGTCTAGCTTCGACTGGATGATCTGCCCCGTCTTGATGCTACAGCATGGCAGTGCTTCGAGGCCTTTGCAGCTGGACACGCAGCTCATGGAGGAGCAGGCTGATGTTGTATGGTTTGGGTATCGTTTGGGGCGATAGAGGTCTATGTGTGAAGGCTCTGAGGGTCTGCAACAATAGAGCCGAAGCTGCAGCCGAGGAGGGAGTTTTCCCCATGCCAGGTGAGCTAAGTGGTCTCAGAAGCCCTCAGCAGTGTGACAGCACCTGCGAGCCCACGAATTCCTGGAACGGAAGGCCTCGATGTGGGCCGAGCATTATGCAGGCCGCAGCCAGTTGAGAAGTTATCTATCCTTGAAGTAAACGTTCTTCCTGATCATACGATATGCCATTTTGGTACGCAAGGAGTGGCTGTTGTTCCGGGGGCATTTATGACTGTGGTAAATTTAAACCTAGGCTACGAATCCTGTGACCTAACTGAGCATGATAGGAAGTAAGCGTGCCGTGACTCAATGTAAAGCAAATCGTATGCAAGGTGGCGTCGCGTGTGGATGTAGAGTAGAAGCAGCATTTGCAAGGGACACTCTGAATTGTTGTCATTACAAGGTTGAGGCCTGGTGGAATCAGTGTCAGACCTAGGCTGCACGCAATTGCTTCCCGTGGCTTCGAGACACCTGGTTCACAAAAGCATGCGTGCTATAATCACCTCAACCTATTTGCATGAGAGCTTCTTGGGCACAAAGCCGTCTGCTCGCATGCTTTTTGCAGCCCTTGCGCGCGTCGGCAGGGAATTTGGATTGCATCGACTTCTACAGGAAGCTCCAGTTAGCCCAGGACGATGTTACTGAGTGCGGCCGAGCATGCTGAAAGCACCGCCCAACATTTTTTTACTTCACTCTCTTCACAGTTCTCTGGGAAGTGTGGTTCAGGGTTAAGCGAAATAGCCTTTTTGTAGCTGCTGCTTCCGGCAGATTGAAAAGTTTTGACAGATGTTGCTTGCCTGGGTCACGGATTTCCAAAACTAAGGGCAGCCAAACCGTTGGAGTGGTGTTGGCTGCATCGGCATATCAAATGATGCAACATTCTCCCAGAAATCAATATGGTGGCAAAGGCCAATTCAATGCATCCCCAGTAGTGGTACTGGGTGGCCTACGGCTCCTTCCTTCAACATGGATGCCATGCTAGTTACAACTTATGAAGCCGG